GCTTCTGGGGTATATTCAAACAGCCCGACAATCGGAAGATATCTTCTCTTTCTCCCCGCCTTTATGTTCCCCTCCCGCCTCTCACGGCCGAAATATTTGCCACACCAGAGACTCCTTCGGCTGCGACAAAGGCAAACAATATGGTTGCCACTCCTACATCAAATGGTATTGCCACCCCCACTGCATCCGAGAAGGAAAACCCAGACATTTTTATCCTTCGTTCCCTTTCCCACAAGCGCAAAGCAGAATCTGATCTTGCTACGCCTATAACAACCGACACCGATGCATTGGCTACTCAAAACGACGAGGTCTCGATAGGCGAAGACGACCTGAATCAGCGCAGAGCAGACAAAGCCCGTCGCAAGGCTGAGAAAAAGGCCGCTAAGCGAGCGCGGCAGTCTGGTGATGCCGAGGAAGAAGCGTTCGACTATGGCAGTGCGCCGAGCGTATTCCATGCGCAGGCACAGGCTGCTCGGGAGGCAAAGGGTAAGGACAAGAAGCGTGAGGGAAGGAAGGAGAAGGAGGTGTTCACTCTGGCGAAGGGTCTGGGCGATGTACAGAGAGGTTTGGGGAAGAGGCAGAAGGAAACTGGTGGGAGGAGTATGACTTTCAAGGACTGATAGATTGAATTCAGTCGAATTGTGGTGTAGCTGGTCACTGCGGTTTAGGTATACCCCTCTATGCAATACGAAATCAGAAGACTTTAACACGTATATTTGTGCCACGGTGATTTCTGATTCCACTACTCCACTAATCGTCGTCTTCCCAACAAAGGCCGTGGGGTATGTGCGCATGCAAGCGCTTAGTCTTCTGCTTCCCCCGTTTGCCACAAGATCTCCCGGCTTGTGTAAGAATAGCCAATCTATAAACAACCACCACCGTATTGCTTGTCCCCTTTTGTCATTAGATCAGAACGTGCCTCGCCAGAAAAATATCCGCAGACGCCAACAGCCGCCCAGCCCCGGTGAACCAATTAACTCCTTATACCTACCTACCATTTGATCCGAATCCCAAAATCCCTATCCCTAAAAGAATCTGATGAAATGACTCCCAATGCAATTAATGAACGTATACCCTTTTTACCCCAATCCATAACATCGTAACAATGAATAATACCACCTTCCTATCGCAGATCCAGCTGAAAAGGCCGGAACCTACACGGCCTAGACGTGCACTTGGGACACTGCGCCGCCCGTCCCCTTGCCTGTTCCCCGACAAGCACCTCGACGCACCCGGCGCACACCCCACAGATGCACTCCGGACAGGCAAAGCTCTCCTTCAACACGGACAGCCGCCGACACCCTGCGCAGTATATCTGGACAGGGTTGGAGAACATCGGACTGCTATCACTTGCTGATGATAGGGCCTGGTTAGAGGCGAGCATGTGGAAGTTTGCGCCTGAGGCGTTGGAGTCTATGCTGGAGGGCTCTTCGACGCTGGGGAAGGGGGCGAGGTCGAGGTTGTGCGGACCGTCCGGGGGTGGCGGGGTCAGGGCTTGTTGGAGGGGCGAGGCGGTGTAGGACTGGAATTGGGAGCCGAGGGCGAAGGGGGGCGGCATGGGGGTGCGGGCGGCGACGGGTGGGGATTGGAAAGGAGAGGCGGGGATCTGGAGGTATATAGTCAGTTGCGATGTCAACGAGAGGGGGAAAAAGAGTGGGGAATAGGTACAGGAGTGAGATCCCGACTGTCTTCTTCGGTGGCGGATGTTGCGGCGTCGATCAGGTCTTCCCAGCGCTTGCCGTACAGAGCTGCGGCGGCTGCGGCGGAGGGCTCGGCACTGTACGCTTTCCGGTCGTGGCTCGTCGGGCGAAGGTAGTCCTTGGACGACTTGCGTTCGTGCTTTGGTCGACGGGCGTTCTGCGAGACGGAGGACTTGCGCTGGCGGCCGTTCTTGGACGAGATGCGCTGGACAGCTGGGGCAGTGGAGCGGTTCGGTGGGGATTGCTCGATGCTTTCCGCTGCATGATGGCCGTTCCCGTTCGACGTGTGGTCCATAGGATCACTACGGTACTGGCTGTCGAGGAACTGCTGCTCTGCGGACAGTGTCGGGTCGGCAAAGGCATGATGCTTATTGCCTCCGCCCCCGTTGCCGACGTGATCTGTGAAGAAGCTCTGTGACTCCTTAGCAGGGTCGTCTTGGTCCATCGCGAACATTCCTACATGATCACCTCCCCAATCGGCGGCCTCGGGTCGCGTAAAGTGCAATTGCGTCAGCGCGGCGGCGGCTGGGAGAAGCGATCCTCTCCTTAGGTTTGCCGCACCGGGCCGCGAGATCTCGAACGACGGGATGTTGTTGTAAAATCCTCCGCCGCCGACTTCGTTCTGCTGACCTCCTTGTCCGAATGAGTGTTGAAGATCAAACGAATCATGGGCAGGTGCATAGGACAGACCTGAAGAGTCTGGGAGACCATTCCTTGGTATGTAGTGTCTCTCTCTTCTCTCCGACGGAGGTGACCATGTCTCTTGCTGCCCCGGTTTGGGCACTTCGTGGGGCGGCGAATTGACCATCAATTCGAAGCTTTCCTTTGTCGCTGGGAGCTTTGGGATGTAGTACTCGGGGTGTGCCCTTCGGATGTGCTCCTGCATGGAGCGGAAGCGCTTCTCCTGTAGCCGCGAGCATGTGTTACTTTATTGTCTGCCATAACGCAACAAGAAAGAATAGGGCCCAAATAGGCCCTGGGAGAGGGAAGGGACCACTCACGCCCAAGCATCTTTTCCGACAGCCAGTGCCATCTGGTTGTGTGATGGGGCAGACCACTTCATTATCCGGATCCGACACGGGGAATTGGGCGTGATTCGAGGGTTTAGGAGGCATTGCCGGGATGCCCTATAGCTGCGACCATGCAAAGATGAGCTCGAGAGGAGCTGTAGCTTTGTACAGTACGAATGAGTGAGGGGTGGTGACGGTTTCTTGGTCGGAAGCAAAGGGAGCTGTGGAAGGTCGGAAGGGCTACAATGGGACGGCAACAAGGTAGAGCTCCATGGAGCCCTGACGGGGAGAGCTGTAACTGAGCAGTGAGGTCGGCTGGCCAGGGGTGCTCTTCCCAAGGGCGATCCGAGAGTGAGACCTTGCCGCAGCTCAATGACGGAGGCGAGCTGATGACAGGCAGGGCGGCGAGACGGGAAGCGGGAAACGGTTGGACAGAACGATCAGGTAGTTGCGTTTGGGTAACGTTCCCGTGCTAGAAGCAGACAGAGGACGACCCGGGATCTGATGGAACAACAGAGGGAGCTCAAGCCCTGCAATCTCTCTCGCAGGCGAAAAGCTGAGGCAGACAAGGGAGCAAAGGTCGGGAGGTGGTGAGCAGCAGCAGCAGCAGCAGCCAGCCAGCCAGCCAGCCAGCCAGCTCCAGCTTGAGACGAGGGACCAAAGGGAGCCAAAGGGACCGAGTGTGTCCAAGTGCCCTGCCCCTCCCGAGGGTCCCTCTCTTGGTCCCTCATTCTCCCCACACCCTTCGATTCCAGAGTCCCAGATAGGCTTAGCCGGTGAAATAGAGAAGGCTGTTCTTTATCTGGCTCGCATTTCAACGTGAGACCCGTTAAAATCAATCCGTTTTGTAAACCGTGCCGTGTCTCGTCTTCCTAATTCTTTTGCCAAGCTGGTTGATTTCCTGCGGAAGACAGTCTCTGTATGCAGGTTCTGCTCAATCCGATTGACACAGATGGCTGGTTGGGAAAATTGTTGGTGTATTCCAAAGATCCACACCACATGTCTAGCTAACCGTTTGTTATCCATCCGAGGTTAGCCTCATGCTCACCGCCAGAGTAAAGCCGCAGAAATTTTGAAATGGCCAGTCTTTGATTGGATTCCCCAGCCACCGTAAAGGTTAGACAACGGTCGAGACGGATGACGGTGGAAAAAGATCCACCAGGTCTGAATGTCCAGGCTCGAATCTGCTGACGAAACTCTTCTGGTTATTGCACCTTCGGTCACGTCTCGGTATTTCGATTTTTGTACGGCTTACCTCTTCAACTTACCTGCGTTAGTCAAAACGACATAATGGGAGGATTGTCTTATAGTTCACGAAGATCAAAAATGTGCACAGATACCGCAATCAGCACATATGCGTCATGCCGTTGAGAAATTTGCTTCTCGACTACTGCCTACCTGCACTTCGGGTTGTAGTGCTTTGCTTTTGATTCCAGGACTTTTGGTTGGAGGATTGAGTCATAGGCAAGTCCCATCCCTATGAAAGTCCGGTAGTCTATCAACAATATCTGCTGCTTCCCCAGTGACTTGAGTTGGTGAGGTTGTAGCCGACCAGACAATGGTCTCGAACAAGCATTGTATCCATTACTTGATCCTTACTGGATTGGTTGAAAGATATGAAAATATGCATGGAAAGGTCTCTTCGACCTATAATCTCCTTCTACCATCGAACCTTACTCAATCCATTCGGAAGAGTTACCTGATTGGATTGGGACTCGTCCACAGCAGCGGCCTATTGCGGCCACAATATGCTCTCTGACAGTATCTTATAAGCCTCTCCAGCACTCAACGAAAATGGTAATTAGAAACTGAATTTCAAAATTTATTCTGAGGTTTAGCCCTACCAAGAATAGGAAAATTTGCATGGCTAGTGTTTACTGCCTACATACAGCAGGTGATCGCATCCCGTACAAAGCGGTTCACCTGCGCTGAGTATCCTCAATTCAGAATATTCAGCATTGGTAATCAGCCAGTACATTTATACTTTTAAGAAGCACATGAAAATCGCACGATTTCATCCATACACGAATTCAGTGAATCTCACTGAATACGGATTATGTATGGTATGCTGTTGGTGTTTTGATAGTCCGTTGTAGGAGATGATTTTCATCTGGTGAACATACCTGCTCATCCGCCTTCCCTCACTGATGAGACAAGCCAGGTGCAACCCAAGTTCCACGTCCACTTAGTCTTACCATGGTCTGCATGTAGTCAAAAACGACGATCGAGTCTTTCAATATAACAAAGGATCAGACACAAGTACTAGATGTCAGCAAAAATCAAAAAGATGTGAAGCTGACCGGAATTGAACCGGCAACCTTCGGGAGATTCCAAACTGGAATCCGACGCGCTACCATTGCGCCACAGCTCCGGAACATTGAATGCTCGGAAGGAATGCTTCTCACTGGATGAATGCTCCTGAGATTAATACCGCATATATAGCTAGACAAATGGCTGTGAGTGCGCGCCGGCGAATCTTCGGAGCCTCTCAAATCAAACTTACCTCCGGCTTCCGGTCCGGCTTCTGTGAATTATGGATTAGGCAGTTGGGAATCGTGCGGCCGACCGGCGTCCAGAACCCGTCGAAAAGACAAAATGGCCACAAGTTATGCGTGCCATCGCTGGAAGATCTCGAAGCCGGGCTAACCTGCTGCCGGACCGGTCCAAATTGACTCAATGTCTCCAGCGTATATCGTTGAAACGTCAGCCTTGTGCCTCGTGGACTTCCGCCACATCCGCACAAATTTCCGCCCATCGCAAACAATAGCCGCGTCGAGAATCTGGGGATCTGACTGATGCAGGCACCAACCAACAGCATCGTATCTCAAATTAAAAGGCATCCAAGGCAACCAGTCATGCGGAACACATTACCGCGGGGGAAGCTGGGCTATGATGCGTGATATCCACAGGCCATCCAATATTTCTGGAAGGAGAAAGGTGTCGCATGTCAAGCACGGCTCATGTTGTTGTCTGAACCAAACCATGCCTGCACCAGTGGGCGCAGCAGCCGCGGCTTGGTGGACGAGGCGCTAAAAAATGTCAGGCCACGCTATCGACGTCGGTGATCGCCCTTCGGACCTTTTCACAATGAGGGGTATCGATGACGGTTGTGCGGAGATGCATAACTCGCCAAAAGCAACGTCCGTCGACACCATCAGTACATGCACTATACCATGATACACAGACGTTGAGTCCAATTTCATTTCAATCAACCAGGCTGTCGGATCAGACAGATCTGGTTTCATGGATATTACTGCCCCCCAGACCCACAAAACTAGATCTGACAGCGCGTGGCAGCCCTCGCCTTCCGCGAACGACTGCCATGCTACCCGCCGAGCCGCAAGACCTAAGACCTAAGACCCGAGACCCGACTCCAAGTTTAGGCCCCCGCTCACAAATCTTTGCATGTCCGGTTGGCATATGAATTAGCGCATGTACGTAATCTCAAAGCGCTGCTTGCTCGATTTGCACGAATGATATCACGGGAACCCTGGTCCTTCTACCTCTAACGTTCTGACTGCCGCCGCTATTGATCCCTCCAACATCCGAGGGACGTTTTTTTTTCCCACGCGGTCCCGCACACGGCTGGTCGGTACCGGTAATGATGGGCCTTATGGGGAACAACAGTGCGGAGGTGGGTCGCATGTCATCCCCACGGTGAGGAAATGAGGTATATATCAACCAAAGAGTCCCCTTCTGTCTATTTCGTTCCATTCCCTTTCGCCGATTCAACCGTCAACATGAAGAGTGCTGCTATTCTTTCCCTGCTTGGCGGCTTAGGCCTCGCCGCTGCATCAAACTGCACATGCCCCACTACTGGAGGTACCAGTGGCAGTGGAAGTGACTCTACCTTGTTGCCTATTGTGGATCTGGGTTACCAGGTGCAGCAGGCTTCCAACTACAATGTAAGTCACACCCCACACGAGATAGATCAACTCATGCTGACGATGCTCAGTCGACTGGTGCCTACTACAACTTTTCCAGCATTCGTTATGGCGCACCACCAGTTGGCGATCTTCGTTTCGCCGCGCCCCAAGATCCCGCAGACAACCGCACTGCCATTCAAAAGGGCCAGGATAGACGGATTTGTCCCCAGTCAAGCCCGGACTGGGAGTCTATTGCAACTCAGTTCATCCCCAAGTACTTGCTTGGACAGAAGACTTTCAACACCTCCTCATTCACTCAACCGAACTTCACCGTGCCCGTTGCAGACCCAACCGAGAATGAGGACTGCTTGTTCCTAGATGTCTTCGTGCCCGAGGCAATCTGGAACCAGAGAAACTCCGGGCAGAAGTTCCCTGTCTTGTTCTGGATCTACGGTGGCGGGTGAGTATCAGTATCAGTCGTATCGCGTAATCTCATTGACGATGTCCAGATATGTCTTCGGCTCCAGTATCAGCTCCGGAAGCCCAAGTGGCCTGCTCACTCGTGCTCAGAACAACAGTCAACCCGGTGTCATCTATGTCGCACCCAACTACCGACTTGGTGCATTTGGTTGGTTGAGTGGCCCAACCTTCCAGGCAGATGGCGGTGTTGCAAACCTTGGTCTGTACGATCAGCGCAAAGCCCTACAATGGGTACAGAAATACATTCACCTCTTCGGTGGTGACCCTGATCGTGTTACCGTCTTTGGCGAGTCTGCCGGCGGTGGTAGTGTCCTCCACCAGATCACCGCCTATGGTGGCCTGCAGGGACCTGCTCCATTCCAGCAAGCCATCGCCCAGTCGCCTGGCTTCTCCGTTATCCCCTCTTCTAACGAACAAGAAAATACCTTCCAAGCTTTCCTCGCTGCGGCAAACGTCACCTCTCTCGCCGAAGCTCGCAAGCTGCCTTACGAGCAAGTCCGACTGGCCAACCTCATCACCACGGCCAATGCCACATACGGCCAATTCTCGTATGGTCCCGTGGTCGATGGTATCTTCACGCCCACAATTCCCGGCCAACTTCTCGCCCGTGGTCAGTTTGACAAGAACGTAAAGGTCATGGTCGGTCAGAATAAAGATGAAGGTCTGCTCTTCACATCACCGTATGTGAGCAGCTCCAACGACTCGGCACTCGAAGAAATTCTTCTCACCAACATCCCAACACTGCGTGGTCTGCCAGACCAGCTCAACTACATCACTAACGTTCTGTACCCTCCTGTCTTCGACGGTAGCCAAGCACAGGGCTATAAGGACCAGATCGCACGCTCTGCTGCCATCACCTCCGAGTTCGCATTTATCTGCAACACCTTCTACCTCGATAAGGCGTATAAGAACAACACCTACAGCTACCTCTTCGCCATCCCACCTGCGCTGCACGGTCAAGATGTGCCATACACCTACTACACTGGCATTGGCCAGACATCCGGCTCCGTGTCGGCCCCAATGGTCGCCCTGGAACTGCAGGACTACATCACTTCCTTTGCCATAAACGGTGAACCCAACGAGCCGGGCGTGCCGCAATTCAACCTGTACGCCAACACTTCCAGTGTGCAGACCCTCGAGGCCAACGGAACGAGAGATACCATGGATCCTGCCGCTAACAAGCGCTGCGATTTCTGGCAGTCGGGGATCTGGTTCTAGTGCATGATGAAAATCTGTCTATACTTACCCGCCTCGTGATCAAGAGGAGGAAAAATGTCTAATGTTTGATCCAATCCCGCTTTTCAGCGATGTAGATACCCACCCATGTCGTTCTTTTCTTTGGACCGAAAGATACCACTTTGCATTCATGAATGGCAATAGTTGTACATAGTCGATGACCATACACTCTTTTTATCACCCTGCAGCCACTCATACCAATTAGACGATTGATGTGCATCACTTAATACGTCCGCCCAGAGCAGCGGCACCACACGTGAATTGTAACGTATTCTTTTTATTCTCAGGGCTACCTCACGATGGCCCTATGCTCACTTGAACCTAATCTCCACCTCGACCTTCTCCACCCTCTCATGCCCCTTGGTAGACCGACTTCCCCCACGGGCACTGCACTACCATTCACCTCTCGTCATGTCCGGCTAAGACTGCACCTTGCCCTTGACCTCCTGCGCCTTGCCCTTTGCTTGTCCGGCGAGCTCGTTCGCCTTGCCCTTGGCCTCGCCTGCTACCTCGTGGGCCTTGCCCTTTGCCTCGCCCGAGGAGACGCCGGCTGCGGACTGGGCTTTGGATGCGATCTCGGCTGCGGACATGTTAGCATGTGGTCGTGCAGATACGGTTGTGGATGTTGATCGATGTAGATGTGGGTGTGGGTAAAGGTAATGGATCTAGGGATGATGACGTACCGGTCTTGTCGATGCCCTTGACGATCTGGTCCGAGACGGTGCGGTCGGCGGCCTTGAGTGTGTCCTTTGCAGTGTCGGTGGCGGACTTGAAAGCGTAGGGAGTGGTGGAGAAGAGGCGGGTGCGGGAGAGGGTGGGGAGGACACGGGTGCGGAGAGCGATGGCGGACATTGTTGCTGTTTAATGAAGATCTGGAGGTGGTCAGCCGAGGATGTATGAGGGTGGGAGGCAAGGTAGACGGACTTGGTTTATTGATTGATGGTAGGTTGAATGGAGATTTGATGGCGGTGTTGATTGACAGATGGAAGTGTAGAGTTGTGGTGGAAGGTCGAATGGGAGAGAGCAAGGTTGGCTGGAAGCTGTCGTGCCACGGGTGCTGCCACTGGGTGATGAAGCTGCACCCTGTCGTCATCGTTACATATCCGCAGACAGAGACAGCCGAACTCCTCCTGAGCGTAGACGAGAGAGCTTGTGATCACGCCGAAACCTGGAGAAAGCTCGAGCTCTGAACAAACGCTAGTCCGGATGTGAGTGGGCGACGTGGGGTGGGGAAGCTGTTGCAGTCGTCGTCATACGCAGGGGTGGTGGCCTGGCGATCCCTCGGCCGAATTGCGCTACGATCACGATTGGCTTTTGACGCTGGTGGCCATTTGGTCTCCTCTGCAGACAACAACTTCAAGTATCTCCTTGATGGATGCAAATATATATATATGCATGAAGCATGCCCTCCTGTAGTCGTCGTACGCACACGTCGCATCAAGAGAACCTGAGCCCATTGTTCATCCGGAACGACTTCCGCCCGGGAGATGATCGCACTACGCCTCAGGAACTACTGCCACAGCGAACACACCCTTTCATCGCTATCTTCTATGCTATAACCCCAGCACGGTTAGAACTTGTGTGCCATTAATCATCTTATCAGACATTCCTAAGGTAGGTAATCGCGCCATACCGCCTCTACTCCGTGGCGTCTAGCCCGTGGCGGTGGTTGCGGCCGTTTCGCTTTCGCTCGTTCTCGTTCCCCTCGTTCTCGCTCCCCCCACCCCTAATATCACCCAATTTCACCTCAGATGCTCAACTGTATTTCCAAGCAGTATCGATATAGCAA